ACTACATTTGCGTGTTGCATACCGTAATTGCTGATACAATTCAGTAATTGCATGCTTAAATGGCCAATTTACATGCACAGCTACAGAAACAGATTATGCACATTTGGGGAACAACTGGTGGGGTCATTTCTGGTATTGATCCATGGCCAGCTGGGACTTCTGTTGCCTTGATCACCTAGTAAAACATCACCACTCCATTTGACTTCCATGGAGCTTCTTAAATATGGCCACATGTGTTTCCTGTGAAATAGACAAAGAAATAGTCGCTCTGTAAAAGTGCACGTTGGGGCAGCTATGTTGATTTCAATGGAGAAAGAGCAAATGCTGCTAGTACTGATCACAACAGATTTTGAAAAAAAGTTATTTCCACCCTAGGAAATACAGGCTATAGTGGAACTCGTAGGAGCTTTGCTAAGTTGATGAGCAGTGACTGACAGCCAGAGAGCGCACACATTTTGTATTTACTGTAACGTCTATACAAGATCAGCTCAAGTTTAGTATTCTGCCTCTGGCAGTGGCCAGGGTAGTGTCAGGAGGCAATATACCGACACAAATCAAAGTAAGGTAATAGTAGGAATCCCATTTAAAAAAAACCCTCTCTCAGATAAAAATAAATCTCCAGTAAATATCTTCCTCCTAATTAATATTAAAACATAGCTTTCATATTTCACCAGTAGGTCTCCATGTACTTTACAAAGGAGGTCAGTATCGTTACCCCATTTTACACGTGGAGCAAGTGCCTCAGTTTCCCAAGGTCACCCAGCAGGCCAATGGCTGGGAATAGAACCCAACTCTTCTGAGTCCCAGTACAGTATCCACTAGGACACACTGCTTCTATCTATTTGCCCACTGTTGGGCAAACAGCCGGTCAGTGCCATAATATGTATGTATATGCAGGGCAAGAAGTTGCTGCTGTTAATAATGCTGATCCTCTGTTATCCATGAGCTGTAGCTCACGAAAGCTCATGCTCAAATAAATTGGTTAGTCTCTAAGGTGCCACAAGTACTCCTTTTCTTTTTGTTATCCATTAGTGATTCTCGGTTACTACAAGCCAGCTTTTCACCTTGCCTCTGGGATTGTTTAGGGGCCTGCTTGGCCCCTGTTGAAATTAGAGCAGCCCTGGGGCTGCTCTAACTTATGTTTGGTCTGTTCTGGCTCTGTAGCATATGTAGACAGCTGAGAATAACCAGGCTGTGTATGTATTTCTTAATAAAAAGATGATCCAGTTACACATTTAGGAGTTTAGTAATGAATAATTCTTCTAGGGGTGGTTTGAATGTGAATGTCCCATGCAGTAATGAGCAGATGTCTGATTTCATCTTACTAACCCTGGGTTTACTCTGTAGTTCTCTAACAGAGACCAGCTGTAAATGCCGAGCAGTAATTTGTCCATACTCCAGAAAATCCATATCCAGCAAAAAAAAAATACTAAAAGCATGTGGTGCTTCATGGAAGCCTACTCACACTGCCACCACTCACCTCATTTTGATTGGTTTCTTCAGGCTTCCATAACAGATGTGCCATATGATTTTTCCCGGTTCCTTTTTGGAGTCCCAGTTTTATTTAAGGGATATCACTCATGGAGGAAGAATAGATGAGGCAATAAACAGCATTTGTGGGGACTTAAGCCCCCAAGTGAAACTGAAATGACAATAGCGTATGATGACTTCAGAGCCATTTGTGCCAATGCCTGGAACTTTTTATTGCTATTATAGGACACGATTTTTTTTAAAAAAAGCACAACAAAAACAAATATTTCTTTTTCCTTGGGAGGCCTTGAAAGTTTCCTCACAGGTCAGGTTTTCTAAACTTTTGATCGTTTTTGTTGCTCTCCTCTGGACTCTCTCCAATTTGTTCACATCTTTCCTAAAGTGTGGTGTCCAAAACTGGACACGGTACTCCAGCTGAGGTCTCACCAGTGCTGAGTAGAGCGGGACAGTTACCTCCCAGGTCTTACACACATCACTCCTGTTAATACACCCCAGAATGTTGTTAGCCTTTTTTGCAACAGCGCCACATTGACTCATATTCAGTTTGTGATCCACTGTAACCCCCAGATCCTTTTCAGCCATACGACAACGAAGCCAGTTATTCCCCACTTCGTAGTGGTGTGTTTTTTTTTTCCTTCCTAACTTTTGCGCTTTGCACTTATCTCTAGTGAATCTCATCTTGTTGATTTCAGACCAATTCTCCACTTTGTCAAGGTGGGTTTAAATTTTAATCCAGTCCTCCAAAGTGCTTGCAATCCTGCCCAGCTTGGGGTCATGCACAAATTTTATAGGCATGTTCTCAGCTCCATTATCCAAGTCATTAATGAAAATATTGACTACTACCAGACCCAGAACAGACACCTGCGGGTCCCCACTACATAAGCCTTCCCAGTTTGACAGCAAACCATTGATAACTTCTCTTTTAGTATGGTCTTTCTACTATTTTTGCACACACCTCATAGAAATTTCATCTAGATCCCATTTCCCCAATTGGTTTATGAGACTGTCATGTAGGACTGTGCAAAAGCCTTACTGAAATCAAGACATGTCTACTGCTTCCACCCTATCCACTAGGCCAGAAACCCTGTCGGAGAAGGTAAATAGGTTGGCTTGGAATGATTTGTTCTTAACAAATCCATACTGGCTGTTCCTTATAACCCTTTTATCTTCTAGGTGCTTACAAACTGATAGTTGATCACCATCCTCTTTATAAAACATTAAGTTGTTCTCCATGCTCACTGAGGGTAGGACAAGAAATAATTGGCTTAGTTTGCAGCAAGGGAGATTTAGGTTAGAAATTAGGAAAACTTTTTGACCATAAGGATAGTTGAGGTCTTGAATAGATTACCTACGGACACCGTGAAATCCCCCCCACCACTGGAGGTTTTTAGCCAAACACCTGTCAGGGAAGGTCTAGGTTTACCTCAGTCTGGGGGTGGGACTAGATCTCTTGACGTCCCTTCCAGCCCTACATTTCTATCATTCCATGGTTAACTGTTTAAAATGATATGATTGGATATGGGTAGTGGCAATAAGGTTAAAGTTCAATTTTTCTACACTGCAACTGGTGGAAATCCTTCTTTGTGTCTTCTGGGAGTCATCCAAATTGTAAAAGACCTTTGATCTAAGTTAACAAAACTAATAAGTGTTGTTTTCAAAGGAGAGAAATACTCTACCTACTCTGTTGTAATGGTAGGAAATATCCTGATTTACTGAAGTTAAACACAGTTCGATAGATACGTGTTCAGCATCCTCGAGACCACGTCAATAAATGTTTCACATCTGTGGCTGCAAAGACAAATATCCACCATAGAAGTGTGGATCATACTTAGGACAGAATTAAGAGGAATGGGAAACTTCCCACTTGTATTAAGTTCATGAATGAATTATTTAAGGAAAATGAAGTGGCTGAGATGAATTGATTAAAAGTTAATGACTGCTAACAACTTTTATAATACCAGCGTAGACACATACTATTTATTTGGAAAACTGTATTTCTTCCCAACCAAGAATGATGCCATTATATTTAAATGGATTTTCATGCATATGAGTACACTGGATATTGAGTAGTGCTAGGGACCACTGCAAAATGACAAGCTTTGACCAAAGGTGTAAGAACCAGAAAACCACATTGGAAATAGAAGACCACATAACCAGATTATAGACCTAGGAAAACAAAGGCTATTGCACCATGTCCATCAAACTATGATCTACAGAGCATCAGTGAACAAATATGCTGCTTTCTGTATGATAATGGCTTATAATAATGTTCTGTTTGTTTTATGGGATGAATGTGCAACCCCTTGTCCTGAGCAGTTAGAGCCAATCATGACATGGAAAACCCAGCGGTATTATTCCACCAAGAAAACAGCACCTGTGTTGAAATCTCCACTTGGATCTGCTAAAGGAATTTTCCAAAAGATCAGACATTGGAACAAAGCTCAGGAAGTTAAACTTTAACTCAGCCACATTGCCCTCCATGTGTACAAGTATACCACAACCAGAATACACAAGGACTGCAAACCATGGTGCATGTATACATTTTGGCTGAGGCTGTGTCTACACATAAACTTGCACTGGTTTAATTAAGCTGGTTTAGCTAAACTGAAGCAAATCCCTTCATGGACACTCTCTCTTACTTTGGTTTGAGAGTCCTACTTTGCTTTAGCTCCAATCTGTTTCTAATCAACTTAAGCTAACCCGAAATAAGCTGAGTTTGAATTGAAATAAGTGTCCATCTTACATAAACCAGTTTAAAATCAATTCTTAAATTAAACCAGTTCAAATGTGTGTAATAGTCCTCATAATACTTAGCTCTGGTAGTGCTTTTCATCAGTAGCTTAACAAAGAAGGTCAGGATCATTATCCCCATTTTACAGATGGGGAAACTGAGGCACAGAGCACCAAAGTGACTTGTCCTAGGTCACCCCGCAGGCCTGGGTACTGAATCATGTAGATGAAGAGTTAATACTGCCATGAGGGGCTTAACTTTTGCATTTCTTGAGGGGGGTGTGTGTGTTCAAATTATCCATGTTAATGCTGCATTAATGTAAGGGTGGGTTTTTTGCATTTAATGTACATGCTTATTTCAGACTTTCAGGTCATTGTGCAAGACAACAGATGATACTGGCTCACCATGTAAGTAATATACACAGATACCCCCAAATTCTGACAACCACCCACCCAGGCGTTTATGATCTTACTGACATGACCACACAGTGTTAAAATCCTTTTTGTAAGGAAACAGCCTTCAATTTCAAGCTTCCACAGAGTAATTGAAAACAAGGGTAAGTTCAAAAGACAAAAAGATCTGATGTACATATTTTAAAAATACCTTTTGTCAGCATCCTCTTAAAGCTCCATATTTCCAAGAGCCTGGAGCTCTGGCAAACATCTGTAGCAGCTGAGTGACGGTTCCATCAGTGTCATGGCAGCAGCTCCGTGTGCGTGTGTATTGTTAATTCAGAGATTTCTAGGGCCTCAAAGGGAGACGCAATAAAACCCTCTCACACTAGAAAAGAGCTGGTACTTTATTAACATTTTGTAACTAATAAATACATTACTGACAGCCAATAAATTATTACAAACACTAACGATCTATTAACCAGATGGACAGTCACTCCCCGTACAAAATTACAGTTAATACAAGTTGGGCCATTGAACATGCACGAGAAAAGGTTCAGCAAGGAATTGACAAAAAGAAAAATCTTAGCAGACGTCAGCATTCCTTAAAAAACAAAAAGGCCCCGGGTGCTGCTGTGGGGAGGGGAGGTGGTGGGGAAGTTGGAGGACAGTTATGGGCCACAGTTGTCGGTGAATAGAAACAAACGGTGGTGATGTGTATGATTCTAAAAGCTGCTATTTCTCTATTTAGTTGGAGGGGAAAATGGATGGGGTGGGGGAGAGAAAGGAGAAGGAAAACGGATGAGGGGAAGAGGGATAGCTCAGTGGTTTGAGCATTGGCCTGCTAAACCCAGGGTTGTGAGTTCAATCCTTGAGGGGGCCATTTAGGGATCTGGGGCAAAAATTGGGGATCAGCCCTACTTTGAGCAGGGGGTTGGACTAGGTGACCTCCTGAGGTCCCTTCCAACCCTGAGATTCTATGACTTTACCTCAGTCAGGGGAGCGTTATGAGCAAGGGCCTAGATTACAGAGGGAGGCACAGGTGTTAACAAATGAGGAATACATTCGGTAAAGAACAAACTTTTTTTTTCAATGTAGTAAAGGGCCTGTCTTTAAACATCCCGATTTGTTTCCCAAATTAGCATGTAAGGGGTGGCTTAAACAGATCTACATTCGGGTTTGGTGTGGGCCATTTGCGAGGTTTGTTTTGTGGTGTCTCCAAACCCCAAGTTGTCTGCCCCATTTGCATCATCTGCCCATGACAGTGCTGCATTGTGGGAATAAATGGGTGACTCTCCTGTGGCCCTAAGTGCCAGGCACAACCGTTGTGGGAGAGACCTGTGACAAATCAGGCCTGCCCTATGAAATGCAGGTTCGCCGTTGTCCTTGCCTCCGGTAGTTGGGAGTCCTCTCAGCCCTAAGTTATTACCATAGGTGTGCTGTGGGGGACAGCAGTTGTCCCCAGCTAAAGCATAAAATGGACTGCAAGACCAGGGTGCTGTCCAGTCAGTCAGTGCTGGCCAGTGAGCGTGGCACTGGAAATGCTGATTAGTCTGGTTACCGAGGCAGCAGTGAAAGTTTCATTGTCACCCCCCGGGGCGGGAGGGGCTATTGGCACAGTGTCACTTGTTAACATCACATGTCAATTGGGTGTTGGCCATAAACCTACTTTCTAGAAGCACTTCAAGGGGGAAAAAATATATGGCAGCAAACCTTCACCTTCCCTGACCACCATTCCCTCCTCCCCTTTCCATGAGGTGGAGTGGGCTTTGAAATGCATTCACCCTTTCCCATTGCCATGTCCCCTCACGATATCATGCTGCCTAGTTTGGCTGTGGGACCTACAGAGCTAAGCCCCCATGACAGGCCATCCCTTACACCACCTCTCTAGTCACAAGAAGCAAGGAAGTCAGTGGTTCCTCTATCTCTCTCCGTAGGGCCAGGGAGTTGCGCTGCCTATTCCCGCGCCTGTTTCTGGCATCTCTCCTGGCAGGGAAGAGTGTGACTTGCCCTCCCCCGACAGCCCTCTGACTCATCCCCTAAGTTGGAGTTGCCCATCCTCCCTCTGAATGTCTCCTCCAATGTCTCAAGGATATCTGATGGTTTTTGAGGTTCCTGTCTTTGGAGGGTTAACATGCAAGGCAAAGGGTAAAAGTCCAACCCCTTCTTACTGCAGAGCTCACACTGCAGGGGAAGCCAGCTCAATGGAAACAATCAACTGTCCTGTCAGCTCAAACTCCAGATTCTTCTCAAACCCTTCCATCCCAGAATACAGGGTGCTGGCTGAGAAGTTTCTTTCCCACTTTGATCACCAAAACAGCAGCAGTCACAGCTGAGAGGCAGGAGTGCTTCAGGGCAGGTACTGTGATATCCTTCTGTTGCTGCTGGAATGTGTCAGCAGCTCTCTGACCTGCCTTCAGCTATTTATCTCAGCATGACTGAGGGCTCTGAAGGAAACCTACTGGGGGAAATCGGAGAGAGACACACAAGGCCACCTTTTGACAAGGCGTGCCATTCAGCCTCCAAATCTGCACCCCTAGCGTGTCTGCTGGACATGTGCAAAGGCGGGTCTTGGGCATGCAAAATGGAGGTCTCCCTATTAGAGGCCACATCCCAGTGTTGGAGTTGGAGAAGTGACCCAGCTGTGTCTCTAACCTACTCAGGTCCAATAGTGGCCATTTGTCTTTTGGAGGTATGCTACAGTGCCATGCCGTTCTTGTGGATCCTTCTGTTCAGAGGATCACTTCATTGCTAATGTAACTGGAAGTAACACCGTTGGCTTGTTGTGCCACCTGACATCCAGAGTCAGGAATTGAACCCATGTCTCCCAACTCCCTATCCACCGGACCACCTGTCTTCCAGTTATGGTACTACCAGTCAGGATGCCACAGCTAAGGCTGTAAAACCTTTTATTCCATTCTGAAACCCTGTTCCTAGTTGTTCTGAAGTACCTCAGACACTCTGTTTTGGGGATAATATGATACCTGTGATCAAACAAGTGCTAGGTAAGCCCACACTTACAAGTAACATTTTGGTCAGGAAAATCTGATCGATTTTCCACAAGCCACTTCGATGGAGCTAGGCTGATATTTCATAATGCTTCCTTGCCTGGGCCTCTGACTGGCTTGGTCTGCGACCTTATGCTGAGAGGCGTGGCCAGCGCATTGGGTATATCTGGGACTGCATCCAGACCCTAGAGAAGAAAGAGCAGGCTATGATGGCAAAGGCAGCAAGGTGGCCAGTTCAGTGGGGAGGAATTCACAGTACTCGAGGTATTGCTACACCTCATTCCATTGTAGTTGGTGGGAGGTAGAAATGATCCACAGGAAAAGACAAGGCATTAAATTCTCCACTGCAGCCTCACAAGCCAGATATAAACCTCCCATACCAGAGACGTGAGATCGTAGTGGGTGCAACAGAATGCCCCCACAGAACACGCTCTGGGGTCTGGAGGAGTGCACTGGCAGAGAAGCAGTTAAATACCATATATCCTAGATCAACAGGGATCTAATTGTAATGAGGCCACTATAAGGCAGAGCATAACAAAAAGACTGACTTCCGCTGTGAACTATGTATTCTTGATTTAGTGGAACAGTGGACCCCTCTGAGTAAAAATAAAACCAAACCAAGGGGGAGGATCATAGACCCTCCTAAGCAAGCATGTACTTCTACCACACTCTCGACCACGGGCAGTGCCAGCAGTTCACTGGTCTCTAGGGACTATTGCTTTCAGACTGGATCCTATCAGTGACTATCTGGGCTCTGGTCAGATTCAGACTCCTGGTTCTCCCATGTCAATATGTTTTTCTCTGTGGGTCTCCTGTATGACAGAACAGGGTGTGGAGGTTTTGTTTTCTGTGGCTTGTCCCAACAACCCAAAGGCCAAATGTGTATCTCAGTCAGTATTTAAGCTGTGGAAGGAGGCAACTTCCATTAGTGCTTAGTACAAAGAAAGGAGCAGGCTGATCTGCCCTGTAGTGGCTGGTATATCTGAACAGCTGCTGTCTCTGCGACTGCTGGTGTCCATGCAAAGCGTGAGCTACAGCAAGGTACAAAGGGGAAATCGATCTTGAATGCCCACAAGGACAGAATGACTGGACCAGGCCAGGGAAAAGCTGGCTGGCTATTCTAGGGCACTGTGAAGGCAGCTGCAAACAAATATCATCCAATGTATTAACAGTCCTTCACTGTGTCCCTGTCCGGAGGTACTGCTGCAGGGAGATAGAAACAGAGTAGAGATAAGAGTAGAGATAAACACATTTAACTTCTGCTGCGACAGATCCAGTCTAGAGCTGTGTCACATTTCACTGTTATGAATCACATGCTACTTGCTCATCTGGGATAGATCCCTTGCCATGTCATCCACTGCATTTGAGATTTTCACAATGCCACTAGTAATTTGAAATCCAAGTTATAGTAGCTCTAGCATTGGGCACCAGACAGCTCCTTTAATCTAGAACTGGTCCTAGTGAAAAGACCTCAGTTTTGATTCTAGATCAGTAATGTGGAGCTGGCTATGTTTGTGAAGAACCTGTTTGGGTTGTGACAAAAAAAATCACTGTCCAGGAAGCGGCAATGAATAGCTTTGCCTGAATTTGCTGCAGTTTGCACAAGTTCACCATACTTTTCAGTGCAAGTGAAAGGTCCCTCTAGTGAGTTCTTGCGTTGCTGGCTTGAACACAGAATTGTCTGTCTGTTTTCAGAATCACATTCCCAGTGTAATATCTATGCGGGTCACGGGCCTGCATCTGCCAACATCCACGATACCCTATAATGGCAGCAGCTCAGAAACCATAACTTACAATAAGACTGTATTCCCCTCTGATAGTTCCTGATGGAAAACGAAATGGGGGCATAAACATGGCCAGCTCTTTAGTTTAAACTGGACCTATTTGTATTTCCCTTCTTCAGCAATGGTGGGCCTCTCAGGAACTCTGCCACATACGTGTGATGTGGTTGCTGTGGAGATGGTGCACAAGTAATATGGGCTTGAGTGTGTGACCAAACTGGGAGGAACTAGTCTAAGGGCTTGATCCTGAGAGGTGCTGAACAACCACTATTCCATGAGCTCGACCTCTCAGTATCAAGCATGTTATATTTATTCCCCCCACAAACATGTCTTGACTTCTTGGTCACCCTCCTAAAGATTCACCCGCCTGGCACAGACGAAATTGTGGTCCCATGTATTGTACTATTTTTATCCAATCAACCTCATTAATAACCAATCCCGCTTCCTTTGAAGTCAATGGCAAAACTCTCATTGACTTCAATGGGGGCAGGATCAGTCCCTTAGTATACATCTGTTTCTTGGGCAGATATCCCAGGATACTGCTGCTTGTGTGGTTTGTTCAACGAAGGCCCATTGTTACTGTCTGTGGAATTCTCATGATTTCTGGCAAGTACTCAAATTTTGTGACTTCTGAGGTTGCATCCTGCAGTCTTCCCAGGGGCAGACCTGGTGAGAGCACTGCACTTGAAGTGACTACATCACTGGGTTCAGTAATGTTGGCAAGCCTTTGTTTAAAGGTGGAGGTTGACATGGTCACTTTATGACGTAAGAGTGTGTGTGTGTGTACGTGTGAGAGAGAGAATCCGTTCTGTGATTCATCTAGATGCTGAGATGCGGGACAGTTTATACTTCAACAAGAATTGTGGATGGGATTTGTCATGAAAAGACAAGTGGCAGAAGCAGTGGGAAACCTGTGGGGTCAAGAATCAAGACCTGATTACGGATCCTACAGACCAGCTTCCTGCCTTCACCACTCCACATAAGACCTGGATCATAGCGTACCCCCCATCAGAACCTCATACAGATGCTGCAGTTACCTACTACACAATTGGAAAAGGAAAGGCAGCTTCCATGGAGAAGACATTCAAACCATGGAATATCTAGTGAACTGCTGCCCTCTCAGATCCTTCTCCAGAAGGACAACCTGGATTCATTCCATGTCATTGCAAGCCATAGAGTGGAGGACAAATCTGAAAGATGAAAGAAGATGAATGGGTAGGATTTTCAAATGCACTCAGTGCTGGACTCTTTCTGCTCCCATTGAAGTCACTTAGAATGGTGTCACTTAGCCAACAGAAATAGGCCAACACACAGTGCTTTTGAAAATGAACACTCTACATGTCTCATTCTAAGCAAAATATCCAGTTTGGCTGATGATTGTACCAACGGACTGAGAACCAGTTAAAAGAATACATTCTTTCACAGGGCGCAACCTTCATACACAGCAACTATTCAACTATTAGAATTGGCTGTGGATTATTTAGTTATAAATTAAAAAAAAAGCCATGTATAGTTTAAGAGAAAATACCATGTAGACTCCCATCATTAATAACTAACTATATGGCTAAATTAATCCTCTGCGACTAATTGGTAGTTCTCATGTACTCACTAAGACCTGCTCTTGCTCCCATTGAAGTCAGGGCAAACTGATTCTCCTCCCATTTACACTGATCTAAATCAGCAATAACTCTGTCAGGAGTCTCATAGGCAGACTTGAAGCAGCTAATGGCATTCCGTATGCACCATCAGTACCAAATCCTGAGCATAAAGTGGTGTGACTTTGTGTTAAATGCCCTAATCTTGCAGAGATCTGGCTTTCCTTCTATTGCTCAGTATATTCAAAAGCGGCATTGCATGCTCTCTGGCCATGTTGTCAGGATAGACAAACACCTGACACAGCATGCGCTCAAACTGCCTATCAATGCACAAAGGGGTGCATGCCCTGACCCTACCTGGCACCACCCATGGGGCCGCCCCAGAGGTTCTTGGATTCGCAAGATTGCACCAGATCTGGGAACTTCACTACACAATGCCTGGTGCAACGCCATCATTCATGGTCCCTCTGACTGGTGCAGTCATCCTCTGTGGAGAACATGTGGTGGTGATGTCTGTTTGAAATGATTTCAAACATCAATAGTTAAACTAGTGCAAAATTAGAGGAAGTAAAAGGAGTTTTGCCACAGACTCCAATGGCAACAGGAAGAGAGGGCTGACATGTCACTTCCTTGTAACTTTGCAGGAAAGTGTAATTACTATGTAATGACAGGTTTAATGAAGTAAAATGTGTGTATTAGCCAAGAAGTTGTTCTACTTAGGCTTTGTAATACAGAATGTAATTTTTCAGGTTAAATCCCATAATAGTAATTTTGAAGACATTACCAAATAATTACTCCCTTTAGAACTTAGCTTATAATTACGCAGCACATGGCCATTACATAATTATGGAGTTATTACATGGGTATCTGTGTCCTGTAAAACAAAACTGTAATGACTGACAATACAGCAGAACCCTCCATCCCATCCCTATACTGACCACTCTCCACTGTCATGGAACAGCTACGGGACATGGCTTGGACACAGTTCAGCTGTTGTGTAAGTGGACACAGCTCCACTGAAGTCAGAGGCACAATAAGGCTTAATTTGGGTCTGTGTGTGCAATTGCTGTTGGGGATTCTGGGTAGCCTGTGAGGTGAGTCCCAGACAAACAAATGGGATTGCAAAAGAAGGCAGCCTACTGTTGGGATGTCCTGTCTCTTTAAATGTTTGAGCACTGCCCAGTGCAAAGCCTCACTTTCGTGTTAGATTCTTTCTGCTGCAAGAACAATAAAGTGAGCACAGCAGAAAGCTGTGTTTCTATCCGCTCCTTTTGTGTCTGCATCTCTCTCCTTCTCTGCTAGCTCTAAATATAGTGATGGGCATGAGCTGGTCCAAACAGGGATGGGATAAAATGAGGCAAAGGAAGATTTAGAAGTTTGCCCACTATTCAAACAGAGAGACCAGTTTGATGGTAGACCAGTTTCTCCAAGGGAGGTTGTGGAAGACTGACCAGCTGATTGGACAAAGCTCTAGAGCAGAAATTGTAGGGTATAATCCTGCGGTGGCAGGATTAGATTACTCAATAAATCTTTTACTTTTCTAGACTAGGCTCCTCAGGCTGTAAGTAAAAGTGGAGGTGTGACTTCTGCCTGTCAAAATGTTTATTAATAATCAGTATATAAATTTCCAATACTGTTTTATTACTACTCTGAGGTCCCAACTGTGCCATCTTTACCCATGGTGAGTAGCACCTTACTATATGAGTAGTCCCACTGAAATCAATGGGATTGTATGCGTAATAAGTTACTACACATTGTGAATAAGGTTGCCACAAGTAAGCGCTGAGTAAGTATTCATGTGCCTACATTCAAATCCTCGCTCTAACCTAGTGTTTTTGTATATAATGAAACCACAATGGCTTTAATCCAAGTCCATAGATGGTTGCATTTTCATGGAGAAAACATATCATAGAATGATGCAAGTGTAGGACTGGAAGGGACCTCAATAGGTCATCTAGTCCAGTCCCCTGAACTCAAGGCAGGACTATGTAATTACTACATGCTTCATGACCATTAACTGCACAACAGCTGTATACAGAACCTGGGCATAAATCAGCGTAGCTCTCTTGATTTCAATGGATCTAGGCTCACTCACCCCAGCGGAGGAATTGAACCCCGTTACCGAAGGCATGGCAAGTCAAGGGCCTCAGATAGTTTTTGCTGATGCTGACAGCCCATTCCAACTCCTGCAGTGTGACATCTTCATAGGGGTTAGCGATATGGTGCTGGGGACTGGAGTCATTCCAAACATACAGAGCTTTTCAAGATACACTAGTAGAATAAAAAAGCATCTGTGGCCATTCTCCATACTAGCATCCAAGAGCAGGGTGGTATAAATTTAGCTGATTTTCACTAGTTATTAGACGTCATGCCATCCCTCTTCCCCCCCCCCCCCCACCCCAACATAATTTTGTTGTGATTTCAAGTACCAATGCAAAGTACATGCTACACGGTGAGCGTGTGTTTTTTGTTTATAAATAAAAATAACTCTCTCTGGGGACTGTAAGGGATTTGAAGGCAGAAGGATGCAGCCTTCGTGCAGAGACTGTCTTATTGTGCAACGAGGGCTTTAGTAAGGGGCAGGGGGATGACGACTGTATCTCACTATTTTAGTTATACACAGTTCCTGCACTTATAACTGTTGCTTAAGAAAGAATAAGCATTGGGCAAAAGGTTGGCTGCTCATGGCAACCCCCCCCCCCCCACGGAAAAGAATTGGGAGGAATGACCGAGTCTAGTGATGAGTAAGGCCTTGGGATGGATTTTGGAGGCAAAGTCTATAGAAGATCATCAAGTAGAAATCATAATAATATTTAGTCCTTGCACAGAGTTTTTCACCTTCAAGTGCTATGCAAACATTTATTAGTGAATCCTCACAACTCTTCTGTGAGGCAGATAAGGATTATAGGCAATTTCAATTTGAGAGGCAGAGGCAGGCAGGTTAAGTGATTAGCCCAGAGACACAGAGGAAGCTGTGGGAACCAAATGCATAGCTCCCATTCCTGAGCTCAACCTCAGCTACCATGTTTGTGTTTAAATGCATTATTATGGCACTTAGGAAACTATTGTGTTTATAATAGTTTAGTCCAGGTTAATTTAAATCCAACTATTTACTTCACCCTGATCTATTTTACTCTGGAAACCCCATATAGTATCAGCAATTCTAGAAAAAGGGAAGAAAAGTCTAAGAAAACATGCATGGCTAAAAAGGATCCTATATCCAGTCAACATAGAAACCATGAAAGATGCTTCCTGGCTGGTCTTCTGAAGGGGATCAGATGCCCAAAGGAGACTGACTCCCTTTAAGGCAGGGGTTCTTAAACTGGGGGTTGGGACTCCCAGGGGTTCATGAGGTTATTACATGGGTGGGGAGGTCACAAGCTGTAAGCCTCCACCCCAAATCCTGCTTTTCCTCCAGCATTTATAATGGTGTTAAATATATAAAAATGTGTTTTTAATTTATAAGGGGGGGGTTGCACTAAGAGGCTTCCTATGTGAAAGGGGTCACCAGTACAAAAGTTTGAGAATCACTGCTTTAAGGCATTGTGAATTAAATGTTGGTCCCATTCAAGTCAATGGGAGTTTGCCATTGATTTCACGGAAGCCAGGATTTCACCCTATTATTTTTGAAACACTGCCAAGGATAAATTCCAAGACCAAAAACTCAAAGAACAGGGAAAAATAATAGTTCTCCCTCCATCAGATCCATCTTTGTTATGCAAAGCTGTGGGAAGTACCCAGCGTGGGCCTAATTTTCACAGTGCATTTGTGCATGCTTAATGGTGAAGCCTCCTTTGGATACAAATGATCTGATTGGTGAGTGCAAAATGAGATTTGATACACCTGCACATGACTAATTAGGTTTCCAGACATACAAGTATGCAAATTTCCATTTTGTGTATGCATTCATCCATGTGTGCGCAAAGCAGAAATGCATAGGGACAAATATGGGAGAGACTGAAATGGGACCACATTGGGTCAATTGTTTCTTGAGGTAGGCTGTTGAGTGGTGTATTCTCCCCCCCCCCCCCCAATTTGCTCTGGTTTTAAATCTCTTTTTAAAATCCTTTTGAATATAGTGTTCATTACAGACTCCTGTATTAACCAGGGCAAAATCCGGCAGTTGACAGCTTTCTCAAGCAAAATCTCCCATGAAGTTCATTGGAAACTTTGCCTGAATAAATTCTGAGTCAGGACCATAGAATTCAGCCCCCGGAGATCAATCCATGCTGATTACATAACACACAGCCCATTTGCCACCCTGCAAAAAACCTACAGGAGAGATGATTCTGACCCAGAACACTGTATTTGAAAACCCCTGAATCTTTGAAGAGGTTTGGATCTGGATCTAATCCCAGATAAGAACTCCATGGCCTGACACTCAATTGCCCTGCATGTCGCAATGTCATTTACAGCAGCGTAAAGTGGGTGCAAAATGCTATCCATCAGATTGGCCACAACTGGCACCCACCCCACGCAAGGTGCAGGGCAGTGGAGAATCAGGCCCGATGCCTCAGAGCCATCTTGAATAAGAACACCGATTCAATTACTGTACTTACTAAACAGGATAATACTCTACCCCCAGCAATGGGGAGGGGGGAAAAAAAAAGGCCCCAAATTTTATGTGCTACTGAGCAGCTGCTTCTGTTAAACTTCAATAAAGGCCAAAGCTTTTTCTATCAGCTGTAATGAGATAAAGTCTTTGGTGTTCTATGCTATGTATGTTTGGCATTTCACTTTATGCTAAATAGTTTTATATATAGGCGTGTGTGTATGCCCCAGTATCTATCTATACATTTTTAGATAAATGGATGTTATTTCATAGCTCTGTTCTTTAAATTATATCCATCTCCTTCACATTAGTCATCAGCACCAGTGTGTAGCGCAATGTACTGAATGTGTCATATTGAAATTTTTGGCCCAGATTTTAGAAACCAGTATAAATTAATTTGCCCAAGGGCAACATTTTACTAGGGGTATCCCTGCCATCCTCATCTGCCAAATCACCTCTAAAAACCAGAGAGCTGAGGTGGTCTTTTGGGACCATGTAGGCTTATTTCCCGGCAGTACTTTCCTCAAAAATTGAAATTAGAGGGCGTGTTCAAATTTATGGGGTGGGGGTGCGTGTTGGAAAATGACTAAATTGGCAACACTGTATGTAACCAGTTGACCCCTGAGAGGGGATGGAGGAGCTTGGGGGGAGGTGTAGGAAAATCCCTGCTTCCTGGCTCCCAAAAGCCTTCCAGTGAAAGAGTGGCCTCCAGATTCCTATTGTATGTCATCTTGAACAGGAAGGCAAGGAATTGAGCTCATTAGTTATCTTTCATTTTATCTGTAGATGCTGCCAACTTTAAATTTTCCCTTGTACAATCTCACTGAAATCAGTGGTGTGCAACCAAGAAGCCAGCATGGCCCATTTGTTTTGGTGGTTTTAACTTGGTCCCTTCTGGCTTTAAACTCTATGAAGCTTCCCTGTAGTTCACCTGTTTTTCACATTGCCCACTACCTGACTATGGCCCTGAACCTACACCCACTTGCTTAAGTTTACTGCCCTGAGTAGTTCCATTGATTTCACAGGGATACATTAGGCCTTGATCCTGCAAAGACTTATACAAAAATCTACTCCATGATTCCGCCAACTGAGGCTCAAAGGTTGGCACAGGAATACTAAACCCGCTGGCTGACTCTTGATGAATGCTGTCCCTGGGGGAGCTCTTTTGAGTTTCAGGCTGAACGTGGATATTACAGTGCGGGGAGAAAGAAGGCTATTCCTCTTCAGCAGTGATGAGCCAGGGACAACACTACAGTACAATGGAACCACTCTTGCTATTACTGCAGATACCTGTCCTGCGGGCAGTGATGCATGACTATAAAATGATAGATATTATTTAATAATGTAGCATTATTTGATTATCATTTATACAGCTATATATTAGCATAAGCTCTGATATAATTGTATAGGGTAACTGCTGCCCTGGTAATTTCTTGCAGCCGGAGGACACTATCAGGATAAACTATTGGTGCAGTTTTAGTCACAGATATCCTATGCGCACTTTTTTGTTCACCTGGAAGATCTAAATCTTCCCAGACTGTGAATCTTCTCCAGCCCTCCCAATATCACTCTTCTCCTCATCCCTGCCTTCCTGCCAACTCAACCAGAGCGGTCTCCCTTCTCCCAACCTTACATTTCTGTTCCCAATGCCAGCTCCCTGCTCCCCTCCCGCCATACTTGTTTCTTTCACTGACTCCCACATCCTGAACCCAAACAGGACCCTACTTACTATGTTGTGCAGGTCAGTCAGGTCTGGCATTATCTTTTCTGGGCCTGGGGACACAAGCTGTATGAAAATCCAGATCTTATTGGGGTTTGAGATACTCCAGAGTGCCCCAGGGAAATCTCAGCCCACACGAGATAAGTGTACAGCATTCGTGCCAGGACCCACAGAAAGAATGCTAGACCTACCAAGGCTCTTTGCATTCATATGTGTCTCCCTGCTGTGGCATTTACATAGTGCTAAACATTGTAGCATATAGCTATAATCCCTACTCTGTTATGACTGTCTCCGAAGATCGGGCATGTTTGGGTCCAGTAGAGAACCCAGCGTTTAGCGCTTGTGAAACGGTACAGGTTTGATCTGGTTCTTGCTATCTAAGAACTAGTCTGGCACTTTGCAGTTAGTATAAATGGATAGGAAAAAATACATTTTAAAAAACCGTGAAGAATATTTTGATAGTGTCCTGTTCAGCCAATCATCAGCTATCTTTGTATGAAGACCAGTGTAATCTCGCGAGACTGTAACCCAGGCCAGAGACTTCCCGGGAGAGGTCACATAGATGAGGATCATGGGTAGGCCTATGGGTACACATGCAAAATATAGTAAAGAGTTAAGGGTCAGCATGGTCCTCCCTGCTCTCTCCTGTGAGCCAAGGTTTTGGGGGGCCCCCCAAGACCTTTCTAAAATCTGGGTTCACCTGCATTGTTCACTAGCAGGTGCCCTCCTCCCAGAGCCACCACTAGGGCCTCCACAAGGCCTTCTGGGGCAGAGCTTGAAACCTTTTCCCCCAGAGGCCTCACCCCAGCAGTGGGAGCATGCATGAACTCCCACTCCTCCTCAAGCCACGGCCATCAGCCGTACAACAGCAGCAGAGCCCCCCGCACTCCAGCATCCCGGCAATGCCAACAAGCTGTTGGTGTACCACCACCCCCATCTGCTTTCCCCTCAGTGGCCCCAGTCTTTGTTCTCCTGATCATCACCAGTGCCCTTCCCTCCCCCTCCACTTCTGCAAGCCTCTCTTCTCCACACCCTTGCCCCCTGCCTCTCCTGTTTTCACGTTCCCTTCCTGCTCCATCATGATGATCGCATCAGCTCCCTACCCCAATTTTCCTAAGAAAATTACATTAGAGTATCAACAACCCATAGCATCATCTACGTAGTTAAAACATTACACTGAAAAGGGATCTTGAAAAATGGCTGCATGCACCTGTGCACATCAGTGTATAGAGGTGTGTGACATGAGCCCCACACAGAGTCCCAGAGCTGAGCACTACCAATCTGTGGGATAGTTTGGGATCCAGACCCAAGCTTTGTGGCTGGCCATTATCTCTACCATGGACCAAACTCAGTCCTTGGATCTGAACACCCCCGCATCCAAAATTACCACCTCTGGCCCATTGCCAATTTCAGTCCTGACAGCTACCAGCAGTCTAGTATCACATCAGTCTTTGCTGTCCCACTCCACGGGGTGTGAATATTTGACCCCTCACCACTTAAACGGAAAGAACCAATCAGAGTGAGGAGTCCACTAGCCAACTGGGAAAAGCAATCGAGAATGCTTTTATATTCATAGAATCTCAGGGTTGGAAGGGACCTCAGGAGGTCCTCTAGTCCAACCCCCTGCTCAAAGCAGAGCCAAGCCCCAATTTTTGCCCCAGATCCCTAAACAGCCCCCTCAAGCATTGGACTCACAACCCTGGGTTTAGCAGGCCAATGCTCAAACCACCGAGCTATTTGTGAGGAACTGCTAGGTACCCCCCAAGCAAATTATTTTTCTAATTCAAGGCCCATCGTTCAGGAAAATTGAAAGCTGTTCCACAAAAGTCTAGCATTGCTTTTCATGGGGCCACTGGTAAGCAACAGCACAAGTGAACTGCATGCTTCTGGTATTGCTGAAGAAGCTAAGTATTTAGAACCCTAATTTTAAAGGCATTTAGGCACCTAAAGACGCCGCTAGGGGCCTAGTGTGATTTGTGTGTGCACACATACACACACTCGACGCACAAAGCAGGCTGATTTCCACTCTCCCCCCCCACATACTCAGGAGTAGCCTTAGAAAACCTGGTGTCCCAAAAGAGACTGAATTATGGCATCCCCCTATGGGGCCTGAGATGGGAAGCTTACTTCTGGTTGTGGGCCACAGTCTCTGGTCTGCTCTGTCCACTTTGTACTGCTCACATAGGGCAAAGTGGACAGATTTCATTTGGAAATGTTCCTTTGAGAAGGGAAACTTCTTGCTGATGCAAACCTGGCACCGCTGGGTCCTTTGCCAGTCACCTTCCCCTGGACATGCATAGGAGAGGGGAGAGGGCATGGGGGGGGGGGCGCACAACTTCTCCATGCTAATCTTCTGCCTAAAACCCCTCAGGGCCCTTAGGCCAATGACATAAGTTGGGGCCAGGCTGACACTGCACCCAGCAGTCTTAACTAGCTCTTAGAGAACCCTGCATTTAACAGAGCTCGGACGCAGGAGGAAATTGATCCCAATGTCTCTTGTGCCTTGATCACCTCTGAGGGACCTTTAAAGTGTCCCTTCATGCCTTCCAGTCCGACACCCATGCCCACTCACTCTCCCTTCTGAGGAATGAGTCCATCCACATCCGTACTCCTTTAGCTACACTAGGAAATGTACTACTCAAAACTTTGTGCAGAACAGTTCTTGCCACTAATGTCTCATTCCATGAGTGTTCCCATGAATGTCCAGAAACTGCCCACTTACAGTACAGTAGCTCTGTAGTAAAGCAAAGAGAACAAGGATGAACTTAGAGTAACAAATGGGTTATCGAAACCATGCTAGAGAAATATATTCAACATTAATTTTGAAAGCGTGAGGTAAAACTGTTATTGGTAACGAATGCCTTTACACAATGCTTAGTAGCTTCTGTTACTGTGTCTTTCTTAGTAAAAGACACTAGCAAACCTCAGTCGGTCTGTTTTAGTCGTTCAAATGTTTGCCCCTCCCCGCCCCAGCAAAATTTCAGAACTCCACCTAACCTGACCTTTCCAACTTTGGGATAGAAACTGGAGCCCGACTGTGCCTCCAAAGTCAATGCTGTGCATCTGGAGTTTCCAAAAAGAATGAAAGAAAAATAACGAGAATTAAAAATATCCCTCAAGTTTACGAAGAAACTGCTACTTTGATGCTAAATATTTTTAAGGCGTTGAAAAATTGATTTTTGTTTTTTAAAATGAGCCTTTTTTGGTAGTTGAAATACATGTTTAGTGGCTCTAGTAGTCTGCACTACAGTATCCTGAACATGGGCTGCCAATCCTAAAACTGAATGGTGGAAAGAGACACAGGGGGGATTAAAAAAAAGGGGGTGGGGGGAGAGACAACTAGGGGAAAGCAGAATCTTCTGCAAAGGTTCTTGGGAGCCAGGAGGGGGGATTATGTAATTTCTTCTTCAACTTCATCTTCTGGAGGGAAAAAAAAAAAAAAGGGAGCAACCCTTCAACCTGAATGGGAGAGCGTTTCCTGGAGAGCGTGGGGAGAGCAGCGAGCGGGGTTTAGTAGAGTCCGCATCCACGCAGGTTGTTGGCAATGATGACATCCGTAACAGCATCGAAGACAAACTGGATGTTGTTGGTGTCAGTGGCGCAGGTGATGTGCGTGTAGATCTCTTTGTTGGGGGACTTGTTCTTGCTCTCGTACTGAGACTGGATGTAGGACACGGCCTCAGTGAAAGAGTTAGAGCCTACAAGAGAAGCCAAGAAGAAAGTAAAGCACGCATTAAAACAGTCCCAAACCTAGGGCCCGAATCTGCTTCAACTGAAGGCAATGGGAATTTAGTAGCATTATATCATTGTCCTAACATGGCCAGTTCTTACTGGGTACCCTAAGAAATAATCTATGGGTCTGATCCTACTCTCACTTGCAAGAGTGAAGATAACAGAGTTACACCGATGTAAAATTAGCACAGGAGCAGATGCTTTCCTGCCAGTGAAACCATTCCACTGTGTGATCCCAATGATATTTTCTTTCTGGATTACTGGTACCCTGTATGATCGTGCATGAAGGTAAAATGACAGGATAGTGGGCGGCATAGAGGTAGAGGGCAATGAGCACTGAAGTCATTTTAAAGAGGGAAGCAGAAGGAATTCTGTATAATCTTGCCAAAGAGCAGCGACTGTCCGATGAAGTTAGCTGTAGCTCACGAAAGCTTATGTTCAAATAAATTGGTTAGTCTCTAAGGTGCCACAAGTACTCCTTTTCTTTTTGCGAATACAGACTAACACGGCTGTTACTCTGAAACCTGTCCAGAAAAGCGTCCGTTATTCGAGCTGGCCAATGTTTTCCAAATTTTGGTTTGTTTTACAACATTTTTAATCAATGTTTCCAATTTCAAAGCCAGGATGAACTGTTTGCAAAAATATTCATGAAAAATTCAGCCCATCTTTTTTGACCTTCTCTATAGCTGGTCAAAAGAATTCAAAATTTCTGTGAAAAAATGTCATTCACGTTTAAAATGTCAATGGAAAAAATGGATGAATTTTCCCCCCAAATTTCCCATTTTTCAATCGGTTCCAGAAATTGTCCTTCATCACTACAGTGGCATCTGCTTGTGGAAATATAGCTTAGATTGTGTCAAATAAATCACAAGGGTTTACACCTCTTCCCTAGCCAAATGTCTACGCCAAAAGCCTATTATCTGCTTATACGGATTTTATTTTTTCATTCTTTTACTGGCCAGATTCTATGTTAGATAATTACATTCTTTGGATGTACATTTCCACTTGGATACAATAGTCTTAATTTCTTGTCCTGAACTGGTGTATTGTCAAACAGCAATTTCACTAACTCCCAGAAGTGACTGTGTTTCATTGTTGGGCAGGGGTGGAGAGGAATAATTCCACTGTTTCGAGTCAGGGAAGCACTCAGGGTTCCTTCTGGACTGAAGATGCTTTATAAATGTGAAATATTATTACATGTTGTCAGAGAAGGGCCTGCACATGGCTGAGTTTTGCCTGAACAGGGGTTAAAGCTCTGATTCAATAAAGCACTTAAACAAGTTAATGAATTCAATGGAACTTAAGCACGTAGTTAAAGTTGAGCGTGTGCTTATGTGTAATGCTAGGCAGAGACAGATTGCTGAATTGGGGCCTCAGTAAGGCTTACAGGACTGATCCCTAGGTTTGGTTTGGTTTTGTTTGTGCCAATATACATATGAGCATTTTTTTATAAAAGGAAAACTTGTCAGTAGGACGCACAAGGATGTAGCCACTGGACTCCCACTGAGGGCAATAGGGGATAAAGTATTGTGACTCTTGATGAAATGTGCCCATGTCACCCTGACACGGCTTTGCCAAGGATTGTGGATTCGTTGAAAGCATGGGTAAATTAAGGAGAAAGAAACTGACAGTGCCTTAGAATACAACGGCCCCTTTGTGGATGCATTCTTCTAATAGTTCTGTGCCAGTCAGCAGGACTAATGCACATTTGGATCTTCATTGTAATAAAAGCATTTTGTGTAACCAACTCTTGATCTTAAAACCCCCTTGTTTGATTTATATGCTCATCAATGAATTCTGTGTAGCAGCAGAGACCCCTTTTGTTTGAACATTGCTTTTTCACCATGCCACAAGGCCAACGTGCAGGTGTTTCTTGGGTGGTTTGTGTTCTGTGGCATTTGCGAGATGAACGTTTGAGGACATGAATAAGCTTCTCCCATCAACATCTTCACTTTGGCCCTAAAGTTCCAATTCAGCAAAGCACTGAAACCTGAGCTTAACTTTAAGCGTGTGCTTAAAGTGAAGCACATATTTAAGTGCATTGCTGAATGGGGGCCTGAGCGAGGAGCCTGCCTTCTGGCGAGATGTTTACACGGTCACGTAGAACCAATGTCCTGACTCCTATGCCACCCCTCTCCTGGCTGCTGGCACAGGGGCTGCAGATGGGGAAAAGGAGTGGGGCTGAGGTTCCCTGACCTCCTGACAGTTCCCAGCTGCCAGAATAGTGCCTCAGGGCTGTGGGCGACTGGTGCAATTTAGAACAGTCTTGAGGGTCTTCTAAGTTATGAGAGGGACCGGCATGGTTCCCAGCCAGGCCCAGAATTGGGATGCAACAAGAGGGCTCACAGCCACATTTGTTTTCCTCCTTTTTATTTGGGCAGAGGCCTCAGCAGCCACAGATGATCTAGCCACTAGTATCTAATTTGTCCCTGTATTGAGATTCCTTTAGCATGAAAGACTCTCTATAAAACTAAGTTCCATTCTTTTCTATTTTACCTACTATCAGCATCTCCACGTCATTAGAAATAGCTCTAGGAATTCCTTAAGAGTGGGGCATTTCTGTGGCAACATAATTAATTCTACAATATGCCTAAACATTCATCAGCACCTTAGAAGTTCATTCAAAATTGCCCCGATGGACTTTGAGTACAGAAAATCCTTTGTTGGCTGAAATGTTTAGTTAGTGAGGTAACTAGCTTTATCAACTGGCTGGATTCTTTCCTGTATCTCACAACCCCATCCCCAAATAAATACCTGATCCTTCTCTGAAAGAGTAAGCTGCAGAATTTCTCTTGAATCACAAAGGGAGCAGATCAGCTCAATATTAATTTACTGTTTGTCACAGCGAAAGAACGAGGGATCCTCTCTGCCCATTCAGAGTGGGAATCAAGTGCTCAGATCTGGGGAGCTCTGTTTTGTAATTTGTTGGTATGCCACAGAACTGTGATGCTCTTGGTATACTCGGTTTGCAACCACGCTGACTGACAAAGAGACCTGCCTTTCTGTCTGTCAGCTTGATTCATCCGGATGTCTCCAGCAGGACTCACTAATTCATGACTGTAAACGTTGATTTTGATGCCGGCTCGGAATTTGACTGAAGGTTTGTGGAAGACAGTGAGATATGGAGTGGAGCAGCAGATTGCAGGAGGAAGCGTTATCATCAACAGGCCAGACGTGAGGCAGTCAGGCACAAGAGGGGTTTCCTGCATGCTGTTCTGTTGCAGCACTTCAGTGCTGATCTCCAGGGTACGCTAATGTCCATCTTCATTTAATATTAAGCACATTGCATCAAAAGTACTTAGTGTCAGTAGGACAACTGCCCCGACTGATGCTGGGGACCTCCAGAGCTCCAATGATGATCTGCTACGGGCTGAGCTAAAGAGCTCCAGCTCTGTGACTGGTGGCTGTAACAATTCACATCCTCTGAGGACTGGGTTAGAGGGGGACCTGTGGGCTACTGCAGCAGCAACCTGGAGGTAGTGTGGCCTAGTGGATAGAGCACTGAGCTAGCACTGATTCTCACTACTGGCCTGCTGAGTGGCCTTGGGCAGTCACTTCAGTGCTCTGTGCCTCGGTTTCCCTATCTGTTAATTGGGGACAATTATACTGACCTCCTTTGTGAAGTGCTTTGAGATTTGTAGACTTTAAGACAAGAAGGGCCCATTAGATCACCTAGTCTGACCTCCTGCATAACACAATCTCCTGATGAAAAGCACTTTGTAAGAGCCAGGTATTGGTGGTATAATTAGTAATGCCTGGCATATGGAAACGGAGGTGGCTATCTGAATCAGGGGAAACGGAGTGGCCTTGTGCTATGGACTCTTTGGCTTTATTTGTCGATGGCATGGCATGTGTCTTCTACACTGTGTGTCTATCCAGCTGTAATTACTTTTTTATTTGTTGGTTAATAAGCCAGTTGAGTCTTTTCTGGGGCAACACGGTGCTCACGAGAGGTGTCATATTCCCAAGGGGTTAGACGACCATTTATTCACAAACAGCGCAGGTTCTTCAAACCTCTGCCAAGTTGCCCAACCAATGAGCCTCAAGAGGCGGGAGCTTCTAGAAGTGGGAGCCGAGTATCATCTCCATGCTCATTCAGGCCTTGACCTTCCCTCTGAAACTGCCAACAAGAGGTCAGCTAATGGCAACTGTGGTTATTTTAGTGATGGTGATGACTTGTTCCCTAGGGACTTGGCTTTTACATGGGCCATTGAACAGCTGTCAGACAATGGAAGCTGCTGGGGGCTATTTCTGCAGCCTTTATTCAAAGAAAACTTCCGCTGGATGTCAATGGGAGTTTTGCCTAAGGGTTGCAGGGTTGGAACCTTTATCATCATTGCCTGAGATGTACCTTAAAAACCAACAACCTCTATTTGAAAAGCTGCATAGCCCATTACCCTGAGCCACCTGTCTCTTTGCTGGGCATTGTTGTGCACGTGGTTTAAAAAGGAACCCTTGTTTCTCATTACCTGTGTACTCTGGAAAGCAGATAGTCAATGGAGATTTCTTAATTTTCTCCTCAAATATGTCCTTCTTGTTTAGAAAGAGGATGATGGAGGTGTCTGTGAACCATTTGTTGTTACAGATGCTGTCAAACAGCTTCAATGATTCATGCATGCGGTTCTGCAATATAAAGGAGAGAGCATATCAGGCTAAAGACAGTGACCGCGTGGTGTTCAACATGTAGGGAAATCTAAAATAACTAAATCGAGGAGGGAAAAAAATAAAAACTACAGTATACGTAATAAATTTATGTATACATACAGGTGAACATATACATACACAGATGCAATCCCTATATTTGACATAGTTAGTAACAAGGGCATTTCACTACATAGAGCTGTTTATTTTGCATAGTGTATAGTTTACAGGATTTCAGCTCATATAAATGATCATGCACCATGCATGTAGGGGGAAGCTACTTTGCCCTTTGGTCAGATCTATGTGTAGGTGCAGGTCATGCAGATTTTCTAAAATATTCTGGTTAAAATTTTTCACTTCATTGTTGTGTGTGTATGGCACACAGTTGGTTGGATACATTAACCAAGGACTGGTGAGATCCTTGAATTAATCCAGAGTTGGAAGCAGACAGCAAGGTGACATCTTCTTGTTATTGACCTTGCCGTGACCTTTGCCTTGTTTTGTTATTTTGTTTAGTGGGTTTGCTTTTTTTTTTTTTTTTTTTTAGTGGGGGCTTCTTTGGAAGATGGCTCAACAAAAAGCGTCTAGCAAAGAAAAATTTTAAAAGAAAATAAGAAAAAAAGGGGGAAAAACCCTGTACAGAAGGTACCTAAGAACAACCAAACTACAAGTCAGCAGATTAGCCCGTTGATGTTAGCTCATGCCTCACGGAAGAACATTAGCTTGTTTGCCAATAAAGGAACCACGCGTTCAAATACACACACAGGGGGAAGGCAGCTTTTTAGTTATAGGTCATGCAACGACAAAAAGATACAGATAAAAGAAACAGATAAAACAAAACAAAAACAAAAGAAATTAAATGTATTGGTTAGGAAGTTGCAAAGTCCGCCACGTGGTTTATGGTGGTGGAAGGAGCTCACGGCAAAGTCAACCAGTAGTGTCATGTTCCCCTGCTGCTTTCAACTCTTAACTCATTTTTCTTGGTTCAAGAGAAGCTTCATACCTGCCAAATTTGGTGGGTCTCTCAAAATCTCATTTTTTGGCCTTTGTTTGGTTAGATAAGGTCAGACGGCCGAGGAAAAGTTGTGAAGGTGCTGAGGCTTGGTGCTGTTTGGAGCGAGAGGCCGAAGCCGGAATGCGCACGCCGGTTGCGCGGCCACCTCCCAACCGGGAACGGGACAGCAGAGAGAGCAGGCATAATGAGGACGAAGCACACCCAAAGAGTCATGGGATTATCAAAGGCAAATCAGGTTACAGACCAGACCACTTGCTTGGTTTTTGGCATTGGGAGCACCTCAGAGGGCACACCCCCAGTCCACCAACACTCATACAAGACTAGCAGCTGGTACAGTGAACACAGGAAATAGGCGAGATACAAAAGTCGTACATAATCTCATCTGTTAAATTGTTTCGGTGATCGGTGTGGCACAGCCCATCTGCATGTAGCCACACAGAATGACTTGTACAGCGTATGTACAGTGGGCCCTATTCAGCAGCCACTGCTTGTCTACGTCTCTTGCTGAGGCTGCACTGTTGACCCCAGTGTTTTATTTATTAGCACGTTCCTTTTTATCGCTGGACATCCTTTAATGATCACTGAACATTTTATTTAGATACAAATGATTCCATGGACAAGGGAAATATTTGAACCGGTGACCAGATGTAGCATCAAATGAAATGCTAGAACTGCAACTTTCCCGTTTTACTGACACCATGTAGCTTTGATTAGAAGCTGTGGCTTCTATTAAATTGGGGGTTCGCTTTCCCCTCCAGCTTGTATGGTAATGATGTGTGGTGAAGAGGTGGCTACCCGCTTAATCATTCATTTATTTATTGGACGCCATTGTTTTTCCTGGATCCTCGAAGATGCTAGAAAGAAGGCATCTTGCAATTTAATGGTGCAAGCTGCAAGAAAACAGTCAACATCCTTTTGACCACCGGTAAATGAGTTGGTAGGTTTGCTTACATATAATTCAACATAGCACAGAAGGACAGAACTACCCCATTTTCTTAGCTGGATGAACCTTCAAGTGTTTCCTTTTTCTTTTTAAAATGTCACCTGAGAGTACAGTACTGTGCAGGTGCTCATACCTCTCTTTGTACTGTGGGGTATATAAGACACAGAGCGCTGCTTCCCTTTGCCAGAGGTGCAATCAAAATCATAAAGCTGTAGAAAGCTGAAAGGACTTGGTTCAGATGACCCTTGCCTTTCTAATACCCTTTTGTGAGGGGGGAAGAAGAGGATGGAAGGTGGAAAGGGGCAGGAACACAAATACACAGAGTCACTTTTAACCAGAGTCCCTCGCAGAACATTATTTGTGCCATTCTCTATTATTCTTAACTGTTAAAACAAGATGCATACACAGCAAGATGTAAACACGGCTTCTGGGACTGAATGAAGAACAATCTGAGACTAGACATTTTGGACTTTTATAATACATACCCTTCTGTTCATCATCTCAGAATTATAAAATAATTAAAGAACAATCAGAACAGGTTAAAACAGCAGCGTTTATACAGTACTGCAGTCAAAGCACATCAGGTAATATATAGTGAACACAGAAATCTTGGTTTTTAAACAGAGCAGAGGCCTTCTCATCTGGTGGACCTTTTAGCTAGTGCTGTCATATTCCCACTGTAGCCAACATGCTCCAAAATCCCATGATGACTTTTTCCCTTTAAATTTACATCAAAATCTGGAGGGAAATGGAACACTTTCCTTGAGTAAGTAATTGATGTCATTGAGTCGTCACCATTACGTACATACAGCAGAAACAATTAAATGGCAAACCCCAGTAGAAAACAGTACTTGCAATAAACATTCCTTTATACCCTACAAATTCGAGTGCCAGGATTGGACATTGCTCCTGGAGTCCCCAGGCTGAATGAAGCTAGTCTATTGTCTCCTCTGGGTTTGGGACAGCCATCTCCCGACAATATCTAAGATCTGTTTTCTGGCTGAATATTGCCACTACTCCCCTGAGCTCTCCTTTTCCACCCACTGTCTCAACTCTGCTTCTGTTGTAATGACTGGGGCAAATAGGGCTGGGAAACCATGACATTTCCCTCTGTATGAGTCCTCTTAATATTTCCACCTCTTTTATCACATTGTGCCTACTTCTAGATGCATTTGCTTGGTCCTTTTGGTGGAGAAGGAAGGAAAGAAAATCTTCTAGTGTCTCTCACCTTGTTTCCTGCCAGCAGTTCTCAAATGCAGCAGTTAATATTTCCTATTTTTGTGCTCTGGTGGCAAAGAGGAGGTGATTTGCTTCTCTGATCTTGCTACCATCCTGATCAGGACTATTGTGCATCAATACTTTTCTTCTGCTCCCCAATGTACAGCTTCTAGTTATATTTTCTACAGATGCCAAAGATCCTTGAACTTGCTCTTTGCTTCTAAGCACATGGATGACTGGTGCAATCTGCACACTTATAGCCAGGAGAGCATATTAATCACATCATTCAGTGAGTGCCAGTTTCTAAAGGTCCAACACTAATGCATAGCTAAGGTCAACAGCACGAAGGTGTGAGTGTGTTACACATTCAGCAACTAGGACACAAACAGTATCTTCACATACCAGCTAGATACAGAGGAACTAAACAGTTTAATTCCAGAGGCAGCAAAGTGTACCAAGCGCATCTGCCTTTTTAACCTAGCATGTAAAAGGAAGAACTGAAGAGGATATTATAGGTTCACATGGTAGATCCCATGCCACCATTGTCTTAAAAAGTGTCATAGGGAGCAATAAAAATCCCCACCTGCTTATGATCCATTCCCGTGTTGTATATGAATGTTGCTAGTGGGTTTTTCCCCTAACCGTTACCTGGGATTTGGATATGGCCTTGGGGTTTTTTTCATATCATTGTCTTGTGAAGACTAAAAAAGTCACTAAACTACCACACTGAGAGTGTGACTGTGCAAGGATGTCCACGGAGCTGCTCAGTCACTTAGCAACTGAGTATTACCCCCTTTTATTATTTATTCAGTACTGTGGTGGCACCTAGCAGCCCTAATGACGGACTAATTAGATTTATATTGCCTGCCGTAAGCCGCTGTGTGAGATCCATCTTACCACTGGAGGAAAGCTTCTGTGAACTGTGTATGGGAGGATTTAGGGGAAAACTCGGCATAACATTTCATTTTGCTTTGCTGTCTCTACCTATAGAATATGTACGAAACCAATGGAATTCCAACTCCATTGTGGGTGTCTACTCCTACATTTCATTCTTCTGCTCTGGGAGTAGAGCATGACAGTCAGGTCATGGGTTGGACCATCATATGAGGAAGGCTTTGGATGTGCTGGCAGTATAGCAGTGCCTGGCTGAATTCAGGAAGTTCAGATTGGCTACGTATGCAAAGCTTGGATTGGTACTTGAATGTAGGTCTAGAAATCTCATGAGAAGAAACTCTCTCATGAGATTATTAGTTCAGGCTAAGCTAGACATGCAGGAGGACTAGCCTTTCTTCTGGTTTTCATGTATTTCTTACTGTTCCTCCCTGAAAACATAGAAGTGGAGAGGCATCCCTTACGAAAATTACGACAGTACTATAAAGCAGTGGTCTCAAATACTACAGCGCATGCTAGGTGCTGTGATAACAGATAAGTGTGGCATGGTTTTAAAACAAGGGTCATGACAAGTAGATTAAAAATGAGCAACTTTTGTGAACTACAAGCAAGGTTTCACTTTGAGGGGGAAGGTTTGGATCAGTTCTTATTTTATCTGCACTCATTTGCCCATTCCTATTTGACAAGGTTCCACAATTAACTGCTGCTTAAGGGCTGGCTCTCCAGTGAACTGGCCACTACAAACTTCTTGGGTTCAGTCTTCATCTGATAGGATTGGCCTGAAACTGGAAGCTGCCTGTAATGTCTAGTTCACTGAGAGAGACCTCAAGGGGCTGGTGCTTTAAGTGCCTGGTTGCCCATTTGAGCCCAGTGAGAGAAATCCAGGATCTTCATTAGAGACTGTTTGTATTGTAACTATAATTTTGTCCACGTAAAGTACAGTTTTATTCAGAAAAGTATAAAATGAAGAGGTGAGTTCTCATGATTATTGTCAATGTTATGCTCAGTTTACAAGGAACAAATATTTTTTTCAAGTGCCATTTTTGCAAACGTGTTTTAAGACCTCACACACAAGCTGGGTTCTTTCTTTCTCATGTATCATCACCAGTAATAAAGATTTTGCCCTTAGTGACATCTGTGCAATCTCAGGGCCTTCAATGGTTTTGCACAGGTTTAAGTGATGGGAACTTAGTAAGGGTTTCGACAGATGATGTGCAAAGAAGAACACAATCTAGCTTATTTTCTTAACTGTTGCCTTTGTGCTAACAAGTATGAAACAGTAAAAGCTCCTTTTTGTAAATAAAGGCAGCAGATCTGACTGATGCACACAGGGGCTAAATCACCTGACCTAGGAAATGCCATTTACACAGTTAGTTTTAAAGCTGAACTATACTTTAAGGAAGGAGATTGTGGTGAATAAAGCTGTAGGTGAAATTGTTCCTGACAGAATGATAGGGGTGAAATTGACTGAGGTCAAACTGTCAGTAGATGCTGTGTTTTCAGCATGCCACTTGCATAGGAGATCTGAGTTATGGAAGTAACAGGGCCAAGGATACTGAATTTGTTGTTTTCTTTTTTCACTACTTGTGTTTTAACTCAGCAGGACTTGTATAGTTAGGCTAAACAAGAGCATCATCTGCATTTAATTTGCACTTTGCAGTGTTGTAGTTTCTTTGCAGGGTTGCCAAGACCTGAAGAAAAGTTGTGTAGAAGCTCAAAAGCCTGTCTCTTTCACCAGCAGATGCTGGTAAAAGATGTTACCTGACCCACCTTATCTCTTTAATTTGCACTGACAACTGTCCAGTCAAATGATCAGAATCTGTGTCTTTTTTCCTGTTGCCCAGAGTACCAGGGAGTGACTTGTGAAATGAAATGTTCATAGAAAAAAAATCCCAGAACTGCACCTCAAATTAATCCAAAACTAATATTCTTAATGGAGAGAGTGTGGTGCAACTGGGGTTACAGAAGCTGCTGTTTCTGCCTACATCAGGGGTTCAGAAAACATAGTCTGAATTAAAGACATAATACAACACTAGTAAGGCTCCCATTGAGAATCATCATTGTATTTCTGTTCTCTGTTAGAGGTCATTGATGTTTCTGTCACCATGGATGGTGTGGGGAGCAACAAACATTAAGTAATATAGCCTCACAACACTCCTGTAAATCAATTTTATCCGCATTTTATAGACCTTGGTAAACCAAGGTTAAGGCCAAAGCACTAAAAAGTGATCACTAATTTCAGGAGCTTCAGTTTTTTGGTGCCTAACGAGAGACAACATAAACCTCATTTACAGAAGTCCTGAGCATCCACATCTTCAACTGACATCTGATGGTAATCAGCACCTTTGCACCTCAGACCCTAGGCATTTTTGCAGATTAAGTCCTTCCTAACCTGCATATGCTCCTCCACATCGTGTGACTGGCAGATTTCCCATTCCAGAAGGGGCATCGCCTTCTCAGTGGGTGAGTGTCTCTTGGGAGCTATGGAGACTTGTGGTTCACAAACCCACACAACAGAGTTGCTGTACTCTATTATTTTAGATCTATATAGCAGATGACACTAATGTTATTACAGAAAATTGATCACAGAGTTGATGGGCAGGATTTTCAAAAAGCTTTGAGAGTTAGGTGCCCAATTCCCATTGACTTTCCCCTAACTCCCTTAGGCCCTTGAAAATTCCAGCCAATATCTGTGATACTGGGATAGATACATAGAAAGTGGAAAACACATGAATAGGAAGGGTTCTTAGTTAATACAGATATTATAAAGTAGCCAGTGCATCCTAAATATTTTCTGGAGGAGTGTGGTGCGGTACGGTGATTCAGAATCTCAATCCGAATCTGTAGATCTAGGGGGATGCGGATATGAGGATGTTACTATCAGACTAAATTCTGGTGTCAATGTAACCTAAACTAATGCAATGTAGGATTTCAACAAGCACGTGACCTCTTTACCAGAGTTCATGAATCTGACCTAGAAGATGTAAATATCAGTGCTCAAAAAGTCTCTTCATGAATCCATTATTGCCTGCAAGTTACCAACTCTTTTAGAGTCCCTCCCCACCGTGTTATCCATTCTAACTTCTGATGCTTTACAAACAGGAAAGAGGGAATAAACGTTAGAGCCTCCTACAGAAACTGGTGACAATAGCATCTCCATTGAATTGTTGCACATTGGGCATGCACAGAACATTTAGGAAGCTCTGACTTTTGGTTCTTCAATGCTGGGCAAGTGCAACTCCATTTAAAAGAAAATACCTGGTTACTCCTAAAACGACTTGCCTTTTCTGTAATTGACATTCCATCTCCCCAAATGCACAGGTATCTTTCTTAGTGCATGCCGTATAGTTGGTGAAAAGTGCGAGTGACTGTTCTCCCACCCTTTATTTGCCCACACTTTTAACACATTCAGATTAACGGGAGTGCCACACAATCATCTGGCAGCTAGTGTATCCCGATATCTCTTATTTTCAATTTCCATGCAGTATTTCAGGCCTAGTATCACAGTGGGGAGGTATAGGAGATAATCCCATCCCCCATAAAACAAATTCCACCCAAGAGTTGAACAGTTCCCGTTTAACCGGGAAAATGAATTTCTTTTGCATTTAGAAGCAGGTTACCCTGATAGCTTGAATCCGCCTGAGGAATTTGTGGGGTTGCTACAGCTTTGTGTATCTGGATGTTCCAAGTGCTGTTTATTTATTTCCTTAAGTTTGTTTTCAAAAGCACCTATTCATTGCTTATCACTCTACTCTCTGGGTTCAGGATCCTCTTTATGTCCCATGGCATTTTGCACTGATCAACTTGAGAGAAAAGAAAACATTATAACTTAATCAGAGCAAGAAATTGTTACCTTGGTTAACTCCACCCTGGGCAATGGAAGACTTAATTTCCAAGGGTTAGGGGAAGAAGGGATCTGCACACGATTTCAGAATCAAGGGAAGACGTATGATTAACAAAATTCCATTGATTTGGTACAAGCCAATGAGCGTGAGTTGATCCCTGAGCAATGGCAGGCTATGCAATAGGCCAGTGATGAGGTGTCGGGACCTGTGTCGCCCCGTAAGCACTCACCGTGGTTTCGTCTTCATGGAGCACCTGATCGTAACCACTCAGCGCGACACAAAAAATGATCGCTGTGACGTCCTCAAAGCAATGGATCCATTTCTTACGTTCTGACCTCTGACCTCCCACATCGAACAGCCTGTGCATGAAACAGGGACGTCTCTTCATTTATTCTTTATTAACAAAGGGAAAATATTAGTAATCCCTTTTGTATTTCTAAGTACTCATCTCTGAAGGGCTCCTAGCACAGGACAACAGAGTCTGCAGTGACTCTCACTTCTTCCTTCTCTGAGGTTTGGAACCCCGCTGTCCCCAAGGAGGAGTTCTATGGGCAGCGGCGGTTAGGGGAACCCATGACAGCATAGCTCCTGACGATTGTCCAGGGGCTTGGGTGCTGTGGGGGATTTGTTGACCGTGCATGGGCAAGGGGCCTCTCTGAGGACAGCTCTTCCAGAGAGCCCTAGCAATCTGCATGTATCTTAGGGGATCTGTGGCTTTAAGAGGCTGAACTCCCAGTCTAATTTATTGTGTGTGTCTTAGAAACCTCCGTCCGCCCTGCACTCGAGAGTACAATTACTGGCAAACTCCATGAGTGTCAGCGTGTGGAGTTTCTCGTTGCCTACATGTGACTCTCTCATGTGGACAACAAATGGCCGAATGTTTTTCCCATATGCCATTCCAGACTGGAGCAGAGTCTGTCTGTCCTTGTGTCATGTCTCCAGCACAGGCAAGAGCCAGAGGGTTCAGAGGAAGGGGCAAGGAACCCCATCATGGGCAAATGTAGAACAACCTGCTCATCAGGGATTTTTTTTCTAAACCAAGGCAAGTAGTGCCTTGGTGCCTACCCCACACAGGTGATGAAAAGATTAATGTGGGCCAGAGAGGCCAATTAATCCACCTGGTTGCACCTGGAGGGTGGGTCAGGGCTAGTTACTGATGAAACCCAGCTGGGGAAGGGCTGGGTGGTGCTATACACAGAGGAAGTTTGGAACAGAAAGAGGCTGAAGGGAGAAACTCTGCTGTCCCTGTCCTGGGAACTGGGTGTGAAGAGACCTTGAGGGAACAGGAAAGCTCTTGCAGGGCGAGGAGAGCCCAGGACAAGGCTTGGCAGTAAGAAGCCCAGGGACGTGGCAGTAAGGAATTGTGTGGTATGAACCTTGACTGCCTGTCCTAGGTTCCTGGACTGGAACCCAGTGTAGTGGGTAGCACTGGGTTCCCCTACCAGCCCCCAGGAAGGGGATATGGATTACAGAAAGCCCTAAGACAAGGATGTATGGATCACTGGGCACAAAATTGAAGGTGGCATAATGGATAGAGGGACCAGATGTTTTCTTGCTGGACTCTGTTATCCTGGAAAGGTAGGAACTGAAGTGTGACCCAGCTTGAGGGCTGAGTCACAAGGAGGGATCACCCTCCCCCACCAGGACTGGAGCAGCTGTGAGAAGGGAGTGCTACAGAGGACAGAACTGCCATGCCATACCCAGCCATGAGTGGGTAGATCTGTGGTGAGTGTACTCTGCTTCAGTTACAAACCATTTTACATATGCTTCTACCCACAGAAATGCAGCCACCTCTAGGGTGGAGGATAGCAGCTAGTCAGACAAGCATACTGTAGGAGAACTTTTGGCCAAGGTAATATGGTTGCAGTCATACAATGCTGATATTTGCACTGCCTGACAATATAACAGTGGATTCACATCAAACTTACCTGAAGTGGAGGTTTTTGAATGTGAAATGGGTTTCTACAATGCCGGTTGTTTTGACCCTGGTTCGAAGTATATCCTGCTCTGTTGGCTGGTAGTCTGGAGCTCCGATTCGATCTAAGCTGTCTAGGTAGCTATAAAAGAAAAAAAATCACAGGAGAGTAAGAAACACTAATTGTTGTCAATCTAATTTTTCAGTGCTCTTTGGTTAAGGGAAAAAAAATCCTCTCTCGAAAAAAGCCCAAACCCACTGGCTCAAGTACAAGATCTCCCATTAAACCGGAAGCAGGAAATGAAATGATCAGGTTCTGCTTAATAGGATTCTTGATAAAGGGATTCCAATCTGTGAAATGTGTATTTTTGTTGTTTTCTATTTGTACTGCAGTAGCATCTAGTGGTGATCAGGATCTGACTGTGCTTGGCACTCTACACAACCCCCCCCCCCCCCCAAAAAAAAAAAAAAAGCCCTAAAGAGTTTCCAAAAAGCTTTTTCGAAAATGCCACAGCATTTTCAAACTATGGTCCAGAAGACTATAGTAAAGCTCTCCTACACTGCAGTGTTTTGGTCCATTACTGTAGAATACTGTTGTTCCCCCCCCCCCCCCCCCAAATGGTAAGCTTTTTGCAAATGTCCTCTCCTGTATCTTTACAGCACCTAACCCATTGTGGGTACTCCTGTAATATAAATAATAATGATATGATAGGTGAAAGGGGGGGAGAGAGAAGACAAGCACAAAGTGCATATACAGAAGTCTAAGGCTTAGACCAGGGAATTAAATACCAGATTTTCAAATATATTTTATTTAGGTGCTTAATTTCAACACCAAAGCTTGAAAATTTTGTCTCATGTCGCTGCCGGTGGCTTCATTTTACACGGCATGGGTATAAATACTATTCACTAAGTGCTGGATCCTGCTAGGGGCTGATCAACCCTGGTCCAATCCACCAGCAAAGCACTTAAGCACATGCAGACCACATGAGTAATCCATTTAAAATCAATGAAGCTGCTCATGTGCTTCAAATTGGGCACAAGCTTACAGGACTGAGCCCGACATAAGTTCATCCAGTGAAAAAGAACGGTGTGCAACAACGCCTAGAAATAAGAAGGCTGGAAACAAAATGATAGGCTTTTCTGCGGGAGAAGTTGCTGACTCTGAATGGGCCTGGCATAGTTATTTCATCTAGAAACCAGCTCAACACCTGCAAAATGTTCCCTTTGAGGTAGGTAGATAAGTACAGTGGTTGCCATTAAACTTTTTACAATTTCACATTTTTGCCTAATCATAATTCCTGAGGTATCTGTGGTATTCCCGTTATCTACCATAGGTAGCAATGCAAATACTGTGGTAGTGGAAGCTACTTGCCATGAGCAGTTGGAAAGATTTTTATCGTGTCCACTTTATTATTTGGGCTAGTTGAGAAAAAATTTTTTTTTGGACCAGCTCTAGTAGTTATCCCCATTGAAGCCTAGGCATAGTAGGGCCTGATTCAAAGCCCATTGAAATCAGTGAAAAAACTCCTATTATCAATAGGCTTTGGATCAGGCCCTAAGTAACTTGGCCAAGGTTGCATAGTGGGGCAGTAGCAGAGATTGGCATTGAACCTAGGTCTGCAGAGCCCAAGTGTTCTGCTCCAATCCTTAAGCCATAAGTAAAATAGAACCCAAACAGAACACAGTAGTGGTGTAAGCAGAGCAGAAATAATGGAGGTCAGAAAAGATAATCATTAAGGGTACAATTTTCAAAAGCACCAAGTCATTTATGAGCCCACTTTTGACAATTAGATTTAGGATCCTAAGTCATTTAGGTGCTTTTAACAGAGTTGGCACCCACCTCTCGATGCCCCCTTCTGATTAGGCATGTCTGGTTCTTTAGTTCTGGTGACCCCTTTTGGCGGTTGTCAGGAGGATTTGTCAGTGACACAGCGCTCCGGCTGAGTCACACTGTCTGCATGTTAACCAGCACAACCCCCTTCCAGGATATATGGTCACCCAGGGCCTGTCTCTCTCTAGGCCTCTGTAGGCTTTGGTATTTATGTAGTCCAGCCCTGGTACAGGGCTGTATCCCCAGAGCTTCCTCCCTGGAGACACTATCTTCCTGCAGCCCTCCCCAGGCTCAGTCCCTACTAAGTCCTAGCAACCAGCCAGGCACTCCCTCAATGCTCCCCCGGGCCCTGCTATTCTTCCAAGCAGCTAGGCCTGCAGTCCTTCCTTCTATTGCTCCAAGCAGCAACTGACTACTGCTCTACTCTGCAGCTCCTTTTATAGGGCCCTCCTGGGCGCTGATTGGCTGCTTCCCCTGCAGCCACTCTTGCCTGCTTGGAGCACCTCTCCACTGCTCCTTCCCTGGGATGGCTGTGGCAGAACCCTGAGGCCTTCAGCACGGGGTCTTTGGGCCTAGTCTACCCCATAACAGTGCTTTAGAAAATTTTACCCAATTCTGACCTTAAAATCTATGAATGTTTGTTGCCTTTGTCTTGAACCCAGGCCCACTGGGTGTTTGGGAAGTAGCCTTGGCCACCGGGCCACACCAACGCATGAGAGTCCCAGGGAATTCACAGACTTGGGTGGGCTCCCCAACCCACTTCCTGGCTGGCCACATGGTCTTGACCCTGATTGGCTGGTGACCGTAGATGCCCATCCTGCTTCCCTTCTTGCTTTGTCTGAGCAATGAGCCATTGCCTGCTAGTTCTTCTCCGACCCATCTGACCCTGACTTGCTGGCTTGTCACCTCGTTTGACTTGGCCCTGCCACCCGCCCTGGCCCCCCTTGCTGTACCTTCCCCTTGGATTGGATCTCCTGGTGACTGGATCCCTTGTGTGAACTCTGACCTCTGATCAGGACTTCCCTTTGACCCTCCTGATTCCTGGACATTACAGGCCTTCATTGTATAGACTGGCCCAACACTCAAACCTGAGGCATACAGGTTCACTTTTTTTTTTTTGTATTAAATCAACGTTCCTCTTAGGTGAAACTATCCATCGATCATTGGGTCTCGGGAAACCATGATCCATTTACTCACCCAAACGCAGGTTGTAAGGCTTAAAATAATTCAGCCTGATCAAATGTAGCATATAGAAATAAGATGAATTTAGCTTAGATTAAAATTTAATGAGTGTTTTCAGCATTCAGCTGTACCATCTGATGAGACCTTTTCCACTGTCAGGTTGCATACACTGTAACTCCTGTTGAAGTTGATGTGAGTTACACGTATGCATGAAGAAAGGGCCCCAGTGGAATTAGCAGAAAATGCCAGAGATGGGAAGAGAAATGGTGCAAGATTGTGTAAGGAAAGGATCATGTCACCCAGAATTAATATGAATTTACTGATGGGTGGAAGGCAGTTCAAGTTTGAGCCCTCCACGTTTGGATGCACATAGAGTCTGGTTTGAGCATCTCCCTCAATTTACGCTAAATGTACCTTTTGTTACATGTAAGATTTTGTGAGTGGGTTTGGCGCTCGTGGAAGAGGAGGACTCATAGCACTGACGTGATCATATGTGCGCTTCCCCATGCAGCTCTGTTGCTGTACCTCAAGTCTGACCTGTAACATCTTTGGCTGGTTAATTCTGGGTTCTTATATAGTCTAATACACTTCAACCCTGACCTGCAACACGTCCTGCTGTTCCAGCTGTAGGCACCTCACACAGCTGTGCCAAAGTACCTGAAACTGTATCTGCAACACTCCCTGGTATTGCAATACCAGGCTACCAAGCAACTTTACTCATGCACCTCTCTGTGCATGTTAGTCTGTATCCACAAAAACAAACACACTTACCTCCTGATACTTGACACTCCATGCAAGGCACTAAATTTAAAGTATCAGGAGGTAGCCATGTTAGTGTGTATCCACAAAAACAACGAGGAGTCCGGTGTATAATAATGCCTGCATCTGTAATTTTCACTCCATGCGTCTGAAGAAGTGGGTTTTTTACCCTCAAAAGTTTATGCCCAAATAAATCTGTTAGTCTTTAAAGTGCCACTGGACTCATCATTTTTGTGGATACAGACTAACACGGCTACCTCCTGATAAGGGAATTAGGTATCCAATGCCCATTGAAATTTGATGAGATTTGGCCATGTAACTCCCTTCTGTGCCTTTGAAAATTTGATCCAAGATGAATTCATGGGTGTAAATCCATGCTGAAGTGGGGTCTTATTATGTGGTGGTTTTGTGATGTGCAACAAATGGGAGAACAGGGTAACACCTACCAACTGATTTTTTATTTGTGTCCTGAGTTACTTTTTGACCAGAGCGCTTGAACAGAAAGACCTTGGTCTCCATTCAGTTCCATGCTCTTACGGTACATTCCACTACACTGGGAAAAACCAAGCCATCCTCTAAACTGAACAACAAACCCACTGCTCAGCCTGCTTTTGTCATCTTATGTGTTTGCCACGGAATGTTTTTGTTGTTCATTTTCAGTGAAGAATCACAAGAATTACGTCACCCAAGGAACTTGCAAGGTCTAAGTAGAATTATTTCTACTGTGCCCTTTGTCAAGCATTTAAAAAACATAATGATTTTGTGATAGATGCTCCCTTATAGCTTTGTGATGGGCCCTGGATGTATGAATGGGGGCTGTATCAGCACATCCTTGTAATAAGATTCTTCGCTCTGATGGCTGCAGACATAATCACTCATGTTCTATTCACAACTGGTTGTCAGCTTGTATTATTTAAGAGATGGCTGTCTGAAGTGAATTTCTCTACACAAGCATACACAGCCAGCTTTGCAGTAAATTAAGTTGCTCATATACACCTGGTGGTCTATGCCCTCATGAAAAAAGTAGGGGTGTAAGAGTGGGGATGAGGAACTTCTCCCTGGATATTTTGTTCTGAGCTGCACACTGGATGCATGCATTCATCTTTGTTTCTTGCGAACGGCTCAGTTCTCTTCACCTTAGCATGTTTCCTGATAGTTATTACAATTTGTTCTTTCCCCTGGGGGATTACTCTCTATATTCCAGGAAGTGAAAACAGAAAAGAGATTAAAAGAACAGGCTAAGAAAAGGAATATGCAGAGATCCAGCCCACAAATTGCAGCCTTAGTATGCTGCAGATTGCCAGGAAGTCAGATAACCAGCATGTAGAGGGCGTAGCAACACAGGAATTGACACAAAAGAATAGACCCAT